ACATAACACGCACGTGACCCGTTCGTCGAATAGCCAGGGGCCGCTTTGTCTCTTGTCTGAGTGTCAGGAGTCCTTGTGAAGAGGGAGTGATCTGTTATCGAATATGGGGAGCGCCTGTCGGTCCGTGTGGCTTCTTCCTGTGCCTTGTGATCGATGTTAACCAATCGATTGAGCCACTGTAGCCTCACGACAATGGGTACAGACACAACTGGGGCTCGGCAGCCAGTCTTCACTGACTTACATGTCATCTTTCGTGCAGGGCATGTAGACACATGAGGGAGAGAAGGGCGTGGATGTCACTGCTCTCACTGCTCTTCTGTCGTGGCCTTGGTGGCTAATCTATCTGCCTGGTGCCGGCCATGCCATCGCCGTGTGCCAGGTGTTGAGGAGGCAGGATCGGTGCATGTGCGTCTGGGCTGTTGATGTCAGTGAGGCGATCCCATTTTCGAGGTCATTCCATGAAGCTTGAAGGCATCCACTCAGTGCCGATGAAGGTGAATGTCATCTCACCATACACACACTCACGCAAACCATGACGTGAACTCATCGCTCTGCAAAGGTCAACAAGAATTCGAGCTGTTCCGGTCCACAATCTGGCCTGTCGAGTGCTTTGAGCCTTGCTGAGGATCCACTAGAGGGCAATTGAAGAACCTCCGCACCCAGACAGCCGCATCTCGGCGTCAGACCGCCATCCGGCCAGCCGAAAAGTGAAAAAATTCCATCAAAGTGAGGGGCTTTCACGCGATCTGACCTCATCTGCGGCAGCAGCAATCCTCTCTCCCTCTCTCTGCCTCTAATCGCCTCCTGTCGTCCGCAGAAAACGAAAGTTAAATGTGGCGAGATTTTCGCGAGCTGAGACGGAGACGAATGATTTACGAGACTGCGGGCCACATTTTTCACATTTTCCGTCCCAGTTCGGCTTTGCAGCCTTGTTTCGGCCACAGATCCTCCAGTTCCTTTTCTTTTCGGCTGGTTGTTGGCTTGTGTTGTCCGCCGCCTCTCCCTCTACCCCTCTCAACTCGTCCAGATGTCGCCCGCCACTTTTTCCTCCACCGCCGTACCCGGGCGAGGCGTCGCCTGCTGGCGCCCTGCCTTCTGCGGAGCGGCTGGCGACTCCCTGGCGCCTGCAGAGTGCGGCGCGCCTTCGTTTTGCCCAAATCGCCTCCAACAGGTGAGTACATGTGAGTGTGGCCTCGTGCGTCATGTTTGTTGGGTGTGGTGATGGTGTGGTGTGTGGATGATGTGTAGGGATGAATGCATGGTACATTCCGTTGCCATGGGTGTGCTCAGATGCCTCCTGTTGCCTTGTTTGTGCGTGCAGATGAACGGGTGGCTTTTTTTTTGTTCCCGTCTTGTTCTCGACGCATTTCTCTGAAGATTGGTGAGGTGGCGGAGTTCCTCACTCAGTCTGATGTTCACGTGCACGTGAGAATCCCTGTCTGCCTCTATGGCCTTCTGTCGTCCGCAGAAAACGAAATCCAAGCGCGGCGAGATTTTCGCGAGCTGAGACGGAGACGAATGATTTACGAGACTGCGGGCCACATTCTTCACATTTTCCGTCCCAGTTCGGCTTTGCAGCCTTGTTTCGGCCACATCTCCTCCGTTTGTTGTTCTTTTCGGCTGGTTGTTGGCTTGTCTTGTCCGCCGCATCTCCCTCTACTCCTTCCAGCTCGTCCGGCTGTCGCCCGCCACTTTTTCCTCCACCGCCGTGCCCCGGACGAGGCCTTGTTTGATGGCGCCCTGCCTTCTGCTGAGCGGCTGGCGACTCCCTGGCGCCTGCAGAGTGCGCACGCGCCTTCGTTTTGCCCAAACCGACCTCCAACAGGTGAGTACATGTGAGTGTGGCCTCGTGTCTTATGTCTGTTGGGTGTGGTGATGGTGTGGTGTGTGGATGATGTGTAGGGATGAATGCATGGTGCATTCCGTTGCCATGCGTGTGCTCAGATGCCTCCCCTTGTCATGTCTGTGTGTGCAAATGGGCTGGTGGTTTATTCTTTTCATTCCTGTCTCATTTTCTCGACGCATTTCTCTGAAGGTTGGTGAGGTGGGTGACTGCCTCATTGAGTCTGGTGTTGACGCGCACGTCAGATTCCCTGTCTGCTGCTTTTCAGAAAGGCGATCCTTTGGTCCGACGAAAAAAAGCGAGAAAAAGAGACAGTTTTAGAAATTCATCTCATCATATTTGTGTCTTGCAGCCGGCCGAGAAGTTTTCCCAGCGACGACAACCTCCTGACCACCAAGAAGGCATGCGCATGGAAGCCATAAAGGTAGTCGCTTATTCACAAACGCTCACTGATTTCTTCAGCAGAAAAGCGAGCTGCATCTTCAGACAGAAGCGGAGCTTCTGAGTAGACCAGTCGCCTCATTTGCGCCGCCACCAACGACGAACACTCGACATCTATCCCTTTTGCCTTCTCTTTCAGCTCAGGGAAAGAAGTCTGGCGGCAGCGTTGCCCTCAAGCATTATCCTGAAGACCACTCAGGTACGTAAGTAAGGGGAAAAAAGAGGAAAGAGTATTTGCTCATGTCTCCTCTGTCTTTCCTCTCTCTCCATACTTGGCCGCTTCGGCGGCCATCGATCGGCCCAAGCTGCAGCACCGACTGGTAACTCCCCGTGATCGCCGTCAGGCCAGGCCGTCAGGAGCCCTTCACTGGGAGACCCAAGTAAGCTCAGAACAAGTGCACCCTCAGACATATTTAGACGTCTCAGTCTATGTCGCCGCCATGGCCGGTGACATAGAGCTGGTGAGGATGTGGACAGGGAGGGAGGGAGCCTGACTTACAGTGTGTGTGTGTGTGTGTGTCTGATGATTCCAGAGCAATGAGTTGGACAAGAAGAAGAAGGAGCTCGACAAGACGGACGTAAAGCTCACGCACACGGAAGTCTGACGATTCGCTGCTGTGATGCATCGACGTGTGCACGTCTGTGCGTGTGTGTGCAGGTGTGTCCTCCACGCTGCGGCCAAACTCAAGGCCAACCACTACGTCAAGGTGCGCAGGCAACACACACACATCCATCCAGCCCTCACATTGTCTGCGTATCTCTGTGTGCGCGTATCAATGTGTGTGCAGGCCAAGGTGTGTTTCTGGTGCGGATACCTCGACTGCCTGGACTTCCGAGCCAAACTCGCCGCCGCCAAGCCGAACCCGGTACGCAAAGACCATACACCCACACAAGATACGCGCACGCACCGACGCACACCCTTGGTTACATGCCCGACATGACTGTCTGTGTGTGCGCAGAACCCCTTCTGGATTGTCACGGCTGGAGGCATCGTCAAGCTCCCACGAAGGTAGGCAGATGGACACACATCCACTCGTTCACTCATTTGCTTTCACGCTGTGTGATGGTATTTGTAGATGTGGGTGCCGAAGGTGAGCACAGCACACCCCAGAACTCGTCTGTATGCCCACCGGCCTGTTTGTCTGCAGGCTGTCCATCGCTGCTTACATTTTATATTCGATCGGGACCTTTTCCCCTTCGAACGCATCGCATCATGTGTGAGCCGCCAAAGGACGCCGATCGATCGGCAGACACGTGTCTCTTGTGTTGACCTGTGCCGGCTCAGGAGACTTCGCTCAAAGCACGAAAAGACTGGTCTTCACTTCTCTCTGTGGATGGGTGATTTGCAGATCGCTGGCTACATTTTATATTCGATCGGCTGATGACGACTCCTTCGAACCGCACTGCCTTGCCCGAAATGATCTGCAAAGGGTATGTGGGCTGTCGAAATATACTGTACTGATCAAATCCCGTGTACGTGTCTCGTGTCTGTGTGCAGATGGATCGCCGTCTCCCTCTTACATCTCTGAGGCGCCTACTAAATCATCCGTCTAGTCTGCCCCCGGCGGCCCCACAGGTACGTAAGTGAGGGAGAAGGGAAGACGGCATAGACACCATGGGCGAACACGTGTATGCTAGAGCGACCAAGGTCATCTCGTGTGTACTGTCGCCCCAAGCAAACATACAAGTGTGTCGGCAAGAAGGGTATCAAAGAGAAGCGTGCTACTTGTCGGATCTGAATGCGGAGGGGTGGTTTCGTGTTTATGTTGGTTCGGTTGGCGCGTGTCAGGGCGGTCCCACAGGGAGACACAAAAGAGGATAATCAAGATTTGCTCATGTCTTCGTCTGAAGCCCCCGAGAGACGCCTCCTCAATCTGACCCGCTACCGCACTGGCCAGCCCACGGCCTCCACTCACAGCGTTGATGACGCTGCCAGATGGAGGCAGCGATAAGGTACGCCTTCCTGACAGGATGTGGGTACTCATCTGTGTGTTCCCTTGTGTGCTGCGACTCTCAGGAAGTCATCCGTCTGCTGAAGGACAAGTTGCGCGCCGAGTGGGACGAGTGGGCCAAGAAGGAGAAGATACTTGAGCAGGTAGGGGGGAGGGAAGGCGGGTTAATGGCTGCCAACAACCTCTGCTGCCCTGTCTTTCAGGAGCTACTACGTGTCTGCCGGGGGAACTCGGAGCTGAACAAGGTAAGATCATCGACTTGAACACATGCCAATCTGAATGCCGTGTGGTTTGTGCGCAGGAGCTGACGGCCGTAAAGGACGACAACAAGAACCTGCTGGACAATCTTCAAGTGTTGTCAGGATTGCACCTTCAGCCACTAGGCAGGTCAACCCAAGAGCTCAAGTACGCCTCACAGTTGGCTGCCACCAACGCTGCCACACTGACGAATAGCATCCGCACGGCATTCCATGGTGTGGCCCTCTCCTTTGCTTTTCAGTAGGTCCATCACACTCAAGTTCATCGCCGACACATCACGGCCGCCACCACCGTGTACTGTACACCGTGGTTAGTGTGGGATGCCTTCAGCGGCGTTAGAGGAGCACCCTGATGACGAGGTCAAGTACCTGTCAGGCGAGTGAGTGTTCCTACTTAGTCAATGGAGATGGATCGATGCTTTGGGCTACGCCGTTCGGTCGATGTCTTTTATTCAATGACCTACCCACATCCCTGTTTATGTTGTGTGAGTGAGTGCAGGAGACGTGCGGTCCAAAGGAAGCACCCACAAAATGAGCTGCACAGGTTTGTCTTGTACGCCGGAGCAAACAGCCATATGATGGACCGATTTGTCCTTTCCATCGGTGTGTGTGTGTGTGTGTTGGTTAGCCCTACATCCCATTTTGAGGTAGTGGACAGCCTCCTCAAGCTCGTTGCGGCAGGCGGCATCTCAGCATGGGGCATGTGCGCATTCTTCTTTCTTCCACTTGTTGTGTGCAGGTAATATCGCTGCGTAGATTTGATATCTTGGCCGATATCTATCGCCTTCCATTGTATGGTGTAAAGAGAAAGAAAAGAGTATTGAAATTGCCGCTTCCCGAGATCGCCTCCTTCTGCGCACAAGTAAGTACATCCATCCATCTCATGACATACATACATACATGCCTTTGTCTCTGTCGGTCTACCTGCGTGCGTGTCATCGATGTATGCGGATGCCTCGATGGAGGGGGTGCGTGGGGGGTGGTCGACTCGACCTCTATCGCCTTCCATTCAAGATGGACAACGAGGGAGGGAGGGAGAGAGGGAGGGATATATACCTGTGGCTGTCGCCACACACGGCATATCGGTCGGCGACCAAGAAGCGAGCTGCACTGATGATGATCGAGAAGCGGACAAGGAGGAGGGAGGGAGACAGCATACTCACGGCATCCATTCATCCATCAGCTGCTCGGCTGAAGATCCTCCTCGTGCCGATGGCTATTCGGGATGGACAACGAGGGAGTGGCTATCATTTCAAGATGGACGAGGGAGGGAGGGAGGGA